ACAGCGGAAACGCTGCGGGCCTCACACTGCGGAAGAAGGGGTAAAAGGAGCGATTTTGTGCCAACACACGGGTTGGTGTAAAACACATGGGAAAATTAAGTGCCTGGGGGGAGAGACCCTTTGCAAACGACAGGGAATCTCTGTACTTGGAGTCCAGCGTGCGCTGGGTGCTCCCTGCCTGCACGGGTGGCATCTCAGACCTCCGTCCGACCAACAGCCGATAGAAAACGTCTCCTAAAATAAGAATTACGGGGGCCTGTTCGCTCCCACGTTCCCTCTAGCGCCGTCCTCCTGTGCCTCAGCCAGCTGCTCCCCATGCTCAGAGACATTAGGCAGCCTGTCACCATCTCCAGTCATCCCAATGCACTTCCCTAAAAGGGTCTGGCCGGGCGGAGGAAAAAGATTTCCTAGAACTACTTAAGTGTCGTTGCCTTGATACAGATCTTCTCTGTAAATCTCGGAAATGCTCCTTCTCTGCACGCATGCGAGCTGCAGTTTATCAGGGTGGACTCGAGCTGGGTCTGCAGCCATAAGTTATGAGCTGGGAAAGGAGCCCAGGGCCTCGAACGGCTCCTCTGCAGGAATGTGAGCCTGGCCTGCCCATTTATGGCTCCACGGGAACTGGGAAAGCAGAGGGAAAACATGCTCACAAAAAAGTGGTTTGAATGTTTTGCTTTGCTCGGGGCATAGGAACCACTCTCTGGATCCTCCCTGTGGTTAAACAAGTAAAAACTGAGAAGTAGGTATATGTGCATAGCGTGGCAAATGTACAGGTTTCCATGTTGATGCAAATCCCGTGAGAAATACTCTTCAGCCGATGCCTGTGTGATTCATGGGTTCAGACTCTCCTCGTCACGGGCTGTGCAGCAGTGACCTTCTGGCTGCCTTGCTCTCTGGGAGCTGTGGAGGAAGCCGTCCCAAGTTCACTTCGATTTCAGCTAACTGCACAAGTAGTAAATTTCGAGAGCTTTCCATTGCCTTTGATGCTTCATTTGACATTGTTTTTTGAAATGCCTTTTTTTTTTTTCTGTTTTGGCAATAATATATTGATAATTGCTCTTTTAGGGAGAGATTTTTCATCTGATCTCACATCCAGCATATAGTACTAGATACTTTCCTGTCTGACGACAGCATCAAACTCTTATTAAAGCCAAAGTATCTGCTGTCTCTTTATCCAGCTTGCGCCACTTACGCTTCTGTGTGTTAGATAGCGGAGCTCAGCCACTGGTGTAATTAAGAAAAGAATTCAAGATAAATAAGACATTTGGCTTACAAAGCTGTTCATATCTATTATCTGTATCTAGTAGTTACTGATAGTAAAAATAATAAAGCATGCCAGATTTTTCTTTTCTGTTTAAGACCATTTTTAATTATTATAGTTACGGAGGTAGATTAGCCTCCAGTGTCTCTTTGGGCTTGTTTTCACTTTTTGAAACCTTGTTTCGGAGGAGGAAGGGAGGCTGTCAGGTTTCATAGGAAAGTCTTGGTAAGGAGACATCAACGGAACATCCAAACTCTACATTTTAGTGAAGAATGAAACAAAGGGAGGAATGTATTTTCCTTAAATCCAGACTGCTCTAACAATACACAGCTCTGTGCAGTTCTCTGGGAAGATTCCTCTGCTCCAGCCCGCTCCGGATGGACGAGACCTTTTCTCCCCTTGGAGCAGGTTCTGCATCAGTATGATTGCTCTAGTGGTGGCCAGAGCTTCCTCTTCTTCTTCCTTTTTGTTCTCCTCCTCTTCTTCGTCTTCGTCCTCTTATTTATTTCTGTGACTTTCTGTCCCTTTCTCCCTTCCTGTGATGCAATGTTTGCAGTGCGGCTGTTGCACGCTTTGGAAGCCGCCAGCCCCGAGCTTCTGTGGAAAGGCAGCCCATGCATGGGAGGCAGATGGACACACGGAAAGTCTATGGGCAGTGGAACAAAGAGGCAATAGAGGGGGAGGCTCTGCTCTTGCAGTGCTCCTGTTTCACAAACAGCTCTGCTCTTCTACTGACCTAAACAGGACACACCTCCCGTTCGATAAGAAAAGCTTGGGTGTTTTTTGGGCACAGCTTTCAGCTGAAATCCAGGAGATCCAGATTCTAAACTCTACTGGAAATTTCTGTGGCTCTCTGGTAGTTTGCATAATGTATGCGCCACATTTGTTCTTCTACCTTTCTACCTGTTTTTCTATCTTCTTTACTTAGATGATAAAAAGCAATTATCTTCTCTGCTGCCTGGGCAACACATTGCACGAGCCAACCCTGGTGTCATCATGTAAGCACTGCTGTCACATAAATGGTCATCCCACGGTAGGAAGTAATTGTAACAATATGCTGCAAGAGGAGGAATGCCAATGCAGATGAAGAGCAATAGCAAGACAGCTGATGTAATTTATCCCCACTAAAAATGTTTTTGGAAATGAGGGTTTCTGTATGTAAGGTTAATTACTTTGCTTGCTAATATGTGGAATTCTAAAGGATTCTAGGCATTTATTGCCTAGAGTTTTGTGCTGACCAGATAGCAGATCCATGTTTTTCTTCTTGAAGTAATTCCAGTTGTTTCTGTAAGCGTTTGCTGCTTTTTGTCAAAGCGATAAAATTCTATTGCTTTATTTTTCAGGAAATGCTTTTTTTAGCCCCATGACAATGATGGTGGTCTACAATGCCTGATCAGGACAAAAAGTTGAAGAGCACAGAAAAAGCATCAGACAGAAAAGCTCATGAGACATTTGCTAGGTACAGTATATGACGTTCTACTTTGTTTGGACTTCAGCAGTAATCCGTGTGGTATTTGCACTAGCTGCCAAAGCTGAATACTTTAAATGGAAATGCAGTGTAAACATGACGACTGTTACTCTGGTCACAAAGTTTATTTACACCTTTGTTGATTTAAGGCATTCTGGAGAAGCTATAAATTCTTCTCTACACAGAGTGGTGACACTAGGCCATATCAGAGAACTTTATTTTTTCTCATTAGCCATGTAGCTTGTTGATCTCTCTCTCTCTTTTTTTTTTTTTTTTTAAACCAAAAATACTTTTATGTAACTATTAATGTATGTACTCATGCTGCTATGTTTTGTCCTAGGGATTATTCTGATCTTAAAAAGCTTCGGGGTCTCTTAAATGTTCAATCAAGCAAACAACAGGTATTTTTTCACTAACCTCTATTAAACATGGTGTACAGTTGTATAATTATAAATAATGGTGACTATGCTCTGCTGCAAACAGTTATGACATTGTATTCTGTTACAATTAATTACATCTGTTAGTAAAATCTTGTGCAGAGGATGTGGCATCTTTTGTTTTTTGGCAGACTTCGAGTAGTGGGACAAATCCCATTCAGGAAGAATGAAAGAATGAAGCTGAACAACCTCTTAACCTCACCTGCTGTAATTTCTGTTTAATGGGAAAAGATTGCTTTGTTATGTCAATATCTCTGGAAGGCTTTATAGAGATATTATTGCACATAGTCAAGTGGTCTAACAGCTTTATCTTCATCTGCACTCTTTACACAATACCAGGAGAAAGTAGTCTCGGAGATTTATTAGTTACAACACGATGAAGCGCAATAAAAAATATGAAAGCATAAACTGGCATTTTCACTGTAAACACTTCATCTTAGGAGAGTGACGCTACAGCTCAAGATTCTCAGCGGGTGGATACCAGTGTAGGAGGCTTCTTAGGATCATAGTAAAATCTTCTCCACCTCAATGCACTTAGTGGTGCCTGTGTTTCTCATTCAAAGGAAAAGAAAAGCAAGAGATTGTAAGAGACATCGGTTCTTTGAATACCAAACAGTTTCTGCCTTTCTGTTCTATAGAAAAATCATGAAAAAATGACTTGAGGAATCCTCCATAGGGTAAAGGAGTTACTCGTTTCACTTCCTGGCTGGAAGCATGGAATTGCTTCTGAGTATAAAGCTGAAACACCCGAGTTTTCCAATTTAAGTAAAATACAAAGGCTGTGCAATTGTAAAAGCGAAGGTGATAAGAAGTGATGACAAAAAGAACTGAACTTTGTTTTGAGCTTTGTTATTATGAATTCTAAAAGACAGTATCTTGACGCTTTATATAACTTGATGTACAGCATTATTTTACATTGGTTCTCCGGTGCTTCATTTTCATATTGTGATATTTATGTGTGTGTGTGTGTGTATATATATATAAATATACATGTGTATATAACACAGACATACATATAATACAAATATACATGTATATTTTATAATGGCAATTATAGATCCAAAATTTAATGCTATCTGTGATTCAAGTCAGAACTTGGAAAAACGTATTATTTTGCTTGTTAATGTTCTCATAGAACTGTTAAAATACAGCGATTGCCTTATAAATACTCCCTTTTCTCTTTAGTTTCCAGCTATTAATTTTGGAAGTGATCAAGGCAGCATGACAAAATCTCAGCAGTGTGTCATCAACAGCAATGGGCAGAAAAACCATAGTCAGTCGCAAGGAACCATTGAATCTGCTGAACTTGAAAAATTCAGGTAAAAAAACGAAAGCTCTCATGGTGACACCCTATTGTATTTCAACATCTTAGTATACCTTAGGCTTGTTGAGGTGTTAAAAGCATTTGTAATCTTTTATCTGTACTTTTATCTGTTACTTGTACTTCCATCTTAACCCACTCTCCAAAATATGAATTATATACTTTCAGCTTTCTAAACCTAACACCTAACTGTATATATTCTTGCTTCTGTAAGTGTCAGTCATGTGTTCCCATGGAATCAGGATTTATTATATTTGATTTAAATAAAGTAGTAATGTCTTTATTTGCAAAGTCCGAACTATTACCTAGACTCATCTTTTGTAATGGTCCCCAATTATGCATGAGAAAAGATTGTTCTTCCATACTGGTCATATTTGGAATTTTGAAATTGTCTTATTGCATTGCAGCTGCTCATATGGCATATATTCTTTTTTCTTGCTAGTACTAAGTTTTGGTAATCTAAAATGATCTTTTTGCAAGACAACTACTAATAAAACTGTTTTTTTAAAACTTTTTTTCGTTAGCATGAGCTACAAGAATGAGAGAAATTTTAGCAAACATCCCAAGCATCAACTCTTTCAAGAGATTTTTACAACTTTAGTTAAGAACAGGCTTACCTGCAGGTAAGGATACTGCATACATTTATATTTAAGGAAGAGGGGTTACTCTTCCTTGAGTTAAGCAAAGAACCTGTATGCATGGGTAAGATCTGGCATGTGTGTTTGAAAAGTAGCCTTTTGTGTGGAAACTGCTCGCTTCGTGTATCTGGGTAATCTTTGTTTAAGCCTTATAAACAATCTCGTGTATTCAGTATTGAAGACTGAACACGTGATTGGTAGGAGGAAGAATTAGTTATCTTTGACTAAAGCTGGATGACCAAAATTCTAACATCTCCTATATTTCCCATGATTGTCTGTCCAAATCTGGTAACTATAGCTTATGTTTTTTTTTTTAATTTAATTTCATTCCTATTTTATTTATTTTTGTTCTTATTTTTTTGGACTACTGCCTATATATAAAAAGACTAGCGCAATTCGGATGAGCTTATGTTGCTGTTCATTTTTATTTGTACATGTGCATGTAACAAAAAGAAAAGAAAAAACATTTCTAATGTTGTTCTCATAGTATTTGATGGAGCAAAAAAGTAAGTGCAAGGCCTTTAAGAAAATTGGCCCCTTTTGATGCCTTTCCTTTCTGGAAAAGAAAAGTCTTTTTCAGAGTTTGATTAATATATGCCACTGAAGTGTGTTATTTTTCATCAAGACGAATCTTTTGAAAATTTGGAAACTCTTTTTTGCAAGTGAATTTCATCATCTCAGTTCTACTAGAGGTGTATCAGTGGTTCCACTTCATTTAAGTATAAAAATTTAAGAATAACTTATGTCGTCTCTTTCCAAGTTATGTTTACATGTTATGACACGTGTTTTGATGATGATATAATAAAACCAGCCTCCTTTATTATAAATGAAAGCACCCAGATAAGATTAATGAGACAAACATATATTAATAGATCTGTAAAGCCCATAACAGAAGTGCAGTTACAAAGGTGATTTAGTTGCCCTTTGTAAACCTATTACTACAGCTGTGATGTTATCCTCTCTCTGGAACTACGGCCATGGTATTTTCTCAGAGCTGCCTTAGGAGCTGTCACCTGCATCTGCATTACATACTTTGCTGGCTCAACTATGTTTGGTAGGGGTGCAAAAAATTCACACCCACTTACTGACATCACTGTGTTGGCAGAAGGCCTGGTTGCAGCTAGTTCTATTGAGAATAAAGCTCTGCTCAGCTTATGGTAAATTTGGAGAAGCAGTGCAACTAACAGACAGAAAAGCCTCCTGCTGGCATGTGCTGACTTACACTGGGGTCTCTAGTAACAAATAGCGTAAACGTAACTAGTGGCAGAGGCTCTCAAGCATTAACTAGGCTCAAAGAATTACTTTCCTCACTTGAAAGTATTGCGGATGGATGGCTCCATTAAGGAAATGAGCTTTGGTCAAGAATCAAGATCTTTTGCAAAAATAACTTTACAGGATCCATGTTCAAAGTGAGGTGCAGATCATTTCCAGTCTCACCTACAACTTTTTCCTAGCGCATGGTTTGCCAGTATGTGGTTGCTGTCTGCTCTGCATGAAAGCAAAGTGCTTTTCTGAAGGGGCCAAGTATGGAAACACAGTAAAAAATATTACTTCTGGCAGAATATTGCATTAAAAGGGCTGCGATTTTGCTAGTATCTATTTGCACAACATTTATTTTTATCCAAATATTTTTAGCCATTGGCGTCATTCCTAACTGCAAATGCTAACAAGGGAAGAGAACTGCCACGTCGCACAGACTTCTCCCCTTCTTTGGAAACTTGCCCAGATATAGATTCTCTCAAGTAAAGCAAAACCAAGAGGGTTCCAATGTTAGGTTCCTTTCAAATGGGGAAAGGGATATATACTTTCCAAAGACAATGTAATTACTGATATGTTCCTGGTATTTATGCAGGACAACGGCCCTTTGATATTTTGTGCAAATCCAAATTGTGGTTTCTGCCAAGCTTTGTATGCAGGAACAATAAAAAAGGAAATTCCATGTGAAAGTATGATCCTATATAAAAACATTTAAACAAAATAAGTTATTCCAAAGACTAGTAATAGTCTGCAGAATAATAAGGCTAATAATAGACTAATATTATTACAGTAGTAACATATTTAAAAAAACAGGATAGATCATGCTCATTTAAAATTTTATTTCAAATCTAGCTATTCTTTCTCTGCAGCACTCATGTTTTTATTACATTTTTAAGAATGTAGAATTTGTGTACTGAAATTTGGCATATGCTTTTTCTGCTTCTACCCTTTGGGGCCTTGATGCTTGATTTATGCAAGTTTCTGTCAAAGCATGATCAGATCTTTCCTGATTCATTCCTGGATCACTTCACTGATAATAAGTGATGGCTGGTAATGTTCATATAATGAAATCAATTTAATTAAAATTATTACCAAATTTGAATATAAACAGGATTTAAAGTTGTATAGTATAAAATTCTGTATCAGAGTATATTGTATAGCTGGTGTAGATTATTAATTTCTAGTTTATCAATTCCTAAATTGAAATAACTTGTGTAATGTGGTTTATTGTTTTTGGTTTGTATGTTTGGATATTTCCACTGCAGGGAGTGGATTAACCAAGCTCCATCCCTCCATTTTCTGAGAGTATTAATCTGCTTGAGATTACTAATAAGGGATCCATGCTATCGGGTCAGTATGTCAAAATATTGTTTCCTGCTTAGAGAAGATAATGCTAATAAGCAGCATGCATATAATAATCTAGGGCCTTGTTTATAAAAATGTGTGCATTTTTACAGACACAAACTTAGTATATGTTTGCACCTATATTTCTTCATACGAGTGAGCTGCAAGCAAACAGATTCCAAGAGCAAACCTCTGCTGTTCTTTGATAATTCATTTAATTTCTGGTATTTACTATGTAGTATGCATCGCTGCTAAGCCTAGCAAAGAACCTGTGAATCACTGTAACAGAGTTGATCATTGCCCTGGTTGCTAGATTGCTTTCTTGACTTGATTTGGCATTAACGTATAAATTTCCTATAATGTATTAATTGAAGAAAACTGAAAACTGCCCATTCTTCCTGGAAGCCTTATACTTTGAATTACAACCTAATAATTTGGATTGTATTCTATTATATTTATTATTCGTAAGACTAACTCTCAAACATCCATGAAGATATTTTTCTTCATGAATTTCTTTCCCAGGTACTCTGAAACTTATATCACTGTTCCAATTTCCAAACTTTAAAATTTCAACCCTATGGTTTTATATGTGTAATAAAATTTATATAAGTAATTCTAAACTTGAAGGTGCTGAGCATCTCCAGAATCTATTGACTTTAACTGCTGTTTTTTCCAACTCTCATAACAAATAAGGCATTTATCTTCATATGTTCTCTCATTCTTGTTTTCTGTATTCTGAAGTTGTTTATATATTTATTTTCTTGTAGGAAATGCTCCACAGCTTGGGTGGTATTGAAAGTCTAGCTCAGGTAAAAGTCTTATTAGTACCTTGGCCCATTACATTGCACGTAAAAAGCAGTGGACATGCAGGCTTGCTTTATAGCGACGTGTGTTCTGTTTGCACTCGGGCAGGTAGTGTGTTTGTTTTTTCACCAGGGCCCAAAGCAACTGTTTGTGTAATCGAGCAGGGGTTAACCCATAGTTTTTAGTTAGGAGAGTTCAAAGATGCCCACTGAAGTGGCAAAAGGTTTAGGACAGGTCAAGGTTTGAGTCACTTGAAAGAAAGGGAACTGTAACCTTTTGAAGGCAAGATGAGTGAAGTCACCTTGAGCTTCAGTGAATGACTTCTGAAGGAGGCAAAGTGCAGTGAAAGAGCTGCTTAACAGGCTGAGGTGTGGGAACTGCAACACCTTTGTGTTAAGCTCATTGTGGTATTGTTATTGCTATGTGTTAATATTGCTTTGCTCTTGTTGTCCATTTGACAGCAAGATTTAGCATCACTCAGATATGTTTGAGATTGACATTAAATATTGGTAGTTTTCCTTCCAGAAAAATAGAATTTACAAAAATAAATATATCCTTCTAGAATGTAATCATCGTTCATGGGTATCTATGGCATCACTGTTACTTCAGGGAACTAATAGTGTGCTATGAATTCTTTGGTCTGACAGTTGCTAGTCTGAAACATCTGTAGAGCTGCAGGTGTTAAAGATTGCTTCCTTCTAATGGATGTGGTTGCCATATGAATTGTTTGGTGTATTCTACTGCTATGCCATTAAATGTTTAATTGGACCTCTTGAGGGATTGCACAGCACGTAGTAGAGTGGCCTACTGAGGTTTTGGCAACATCTGCAAATGCTGTCCTCTGTAGCAGGAACCAAGTCATAGAAGTGATTATCATTTTTGCTGCATAGGTATTGCTGGCCTAGAGAATATAAAAAATATCACCAGTAATTCTAATGTTTTCTGAACTTTTGGAGAAGTTAATCTCTTATTATCTTTCAAAGCGAGATAAAATAAAGTGCTAAGTGGATTTCTGGCACCCCGAAATTCGCTTTGAAAAATGTTAAGGCTGAGATTTTCAAAATTCCCTCAGAAATTTGAATAGTAGCAGCAAGTGTAGTGTGAATTGTTCATCTAAATTTTCTTGCCAAATCTGCAAATATCTCAGTTTAAGGTCCTTCATTAGACTATTAGATGCAATACAGAAAACATATTTTTGGCATCACAGTTTCATATGAAACCCATAACATATAAAAAAAAAATCTTCATTTTAAAGTCTTTTCGGATGTTTTGATAGAAAACGCTGATAAAATTATAGTGGTGAACCTAGCCACCACTAAGTTTCAGGAATAACTGAGCAAACTGTACAGTATCATGAAGCAGATGCACCACCTACAGGCCATTTATGTGCAATAACAATTAGATTTATGATTTATTTTTTTTCTCAAATAGTATCCTTTTATTTTTTTCCTACCTATAGTGTATGGAAACAGTAGCAAATGGCTATCTTGAGTATGGAGAGCAGCAGCATAATGTGGACAAATTGGTAAACATGACATGTAAGTGTTATAGCTGTTATCTTACAAGTTCCCTCAGAACTTTGTAGCAAAGATTGTATGTGAGGCTTTAAAAATGTTGAAAACGCTTTAGAAGGTCAGAAGTAAGATATCACTAGATTCAGTGTAGACATGATCATGCAAGTATGAAGGTACCCAAAACTGCTGTTGGATAGCACATCCTGTTTTTGTAAGTACTAATATCTCTTCCTAAAAAAATGTTACTTCCTTATATATTAAAATAACAGAGTAAAGTGAACAAGAGAGAACTTATCCTTATTTTTAATTTCATTATTTGATCAGCAAAATGAAAAATATTCACTGATGAAGACGCAATTTATCTGATTTCTTATGTTCCATAGATATTTTTCAAAAGATTGCTGCTCTTAAAGATAAAAGAAAATGGGTTTTAGTGAGTGGAGCGCATAAAGTAAGTGCTTTATAAAATTGCTACTTATAACCTACTAGCTACTTTACTGAATTATTTATGCTTTCCAAATTTGATATGTCTGGGACTATATTCCTTACAATGTCAAACTTGCTGTTAAGTATGACAATGTCATTTTTGTGTTTTACTGGTGTGAATTACTATCATAGAATTATTTCATGTATGTGAGTTAAATTGGCCCGATGCCTGCTTATTGGTGTTTTGAGGTAATTGTCTTAAGCGTTTTGGCTAGACTTGCTCCTATAAAAACAGTAGTCGTGCTTACACTGTACTAAACTACATATTGCTATAATGTAAATTGGTAGGAAGTATCTTCTCTGATTATTCACTTCAACAGCTTGAGGTTACCGTGAATGTAAGGACACACACTTGCCATATTTAAAGACTGATTTGTGGCCAAATTGAGAAACAGTTGAGATTGAAAACAATAGTGCTTGGTTATTCTACTATGTTGCAGTAAAAAATTAGCAATTGTGATCAGACAGTGTTTGAAGATATTATTTTAAAGAATGCAGACATTTCTGAGCACTACTGTATAATCTAAATCATTATTGGAATACATGCAGTGTTTAAAATCACACATAGTTTAAATATAAGCTGAAAATCAACTTTTAATTTGAAGGGCCCTTGACGTAAAGTTCTGAAGTGTTTCACACCAGGAGAGAATTTAAAATGGTACCTTAAGTTGAGCTTTAACAGTCATGAGAGATGCTAGCTGGAGTTTGAAAAGAGAGCCTTGCTTGTCCTAAGACTCAGTATATTCTGAGATTTTATATGTATGTTTAAGTGTACCTTAAGTATATATAATACTTTTAGTGTATTTTGCAAGGATTCGGTGTCTTTATTTTTTAAATACTGACTTTCCAATAAAAAAATGTTTTTGAATCATAACAGAAAAGCATATAGTTTACATTCATTTATCTTGTTCTTTGTTTTATTTCCCAGACTTTAGTACATTTGTTAGCTGCCAGAGACAGCAATGTGCTGTTGGGGGCCCTCCTTGCTCTAACAAGCTTGGCAGAAAGGTAAGTTCAATTTAACATGCTGTCATTCACAATAAACATTTTAATGTTATTTCTTGGTACACTGTTAAAACTGTTATTTATGAGGCAGACACTTATTTTCAAAATGAGGCCTTGTTCTGCAGAGACCTATGAAGCAGTAAAAATGAAAAGTTAAAAAGCCCTCACAAGCTACCAAGTACAGACTTAGGTCCTTACAGCAGCTTTCACACTCATGTGAAGAACTTTGCAAGGTTGGAGTCGTAATCTCTTTGTAGCCCCTGCAGAGGCTTCTGTAATACTTTCTTACTTCTCTATGTATAAAGAATTTATGTCATGAACTGAATATGACAGTGCCTCAAAATAACCAGCAGGAAGTTTGGTGAGTGTAGTAAATAAGGAATGTATACAGCCACGTACATATGTGTGTATCCTGTCTTCACTAACAGCTGCTTTAAATGTGCGTTATATTATATAGTTCTGGTGTGGGGAAGAAAAGGAAAAGAAAGATACAACACTGTTAATTCTTAAAGGTTTTATAGAAGAATTGCTGCTTTTTCTACATTATATTTCTGTTTCCAGAATTTTAAAACAATTGTATCTTTTAAGTGAAAATTTTAAGTGAAAATCATAAAACTGAAGGAAATCCCTTTCATTCTATTTCTATTTTTTAAAAATATTTCAGGACATTTAAATTATGCCTATGTTTTTAACTTGTGTTTATTTTTTTCCAAATAATTTTATTTTATTTTTTACATCTCGATAGGACAAGAAAGTATTTGGAGTACATTAAGAATATTTGTGCAAATAATGTTTGATTATTAAAAAAAACTCATTTTCTTAATTTCTTAATTGCTAATATCAAACAAAGTAAATATGCTTGTGTCCTGACTTTTACACGCTTACTCTTCGATAATAGGAAAACTGGAAATTGTGGCAGTATCAGTTTTTGACTAAACATATCTTTGTGATTTTAAATTTCCTGTGCTCAATATGTTATTATTATTCAAGGCTCAAGAAAAAAATAATTGGTCAAAGTAATGCATAAGGAGGAAGGCTAAAGAGCAATGTGCTTTTTATTTATATGATTTAATTTGATATAAATGCCAGGAATAATCAATTTGTAGTCCAGAATGTAGGGAGAAGATAAGTGAGCTCATCATTGTTGAAAACTTGCTGGTGATACTACATGAATATGATTTACTTTCTAAAAGGTGAGATTTTGTATATAGATTAATTTAACTTAATTTATAAAAACTTTTTTATTTAGAGATATGATTATTTAGATGAAATAGATAACATGCAATTTTATTCAAGGTAAAGTTCTAAAACTCTGTGTTTTCAGTCCAATATTAACAGAGCAATATCCTCTCTAGGAGGCTGTCTCCTGCCTTCCTGGTGTTGGCCTGCAGTTCAAATCGATGCTAAAGCTACCTCAGAGTGACAGCAGTTGCTTTTCTTGGTGCTTCCCGTCTTTGCTCCTAGCAGAGCAGCTGGGTTAGCTGGCGGGTGTGTTGAACCCTGACAGATCCTGGATGCACAATGTAGAGTAAGAAGTCAGCAGATGCAGCTGCCTTAGTTTCTAGCAGAAGCCCCGTATCCCCATGCTCAGAAGGTCATAAAGGCTCCTTCAGTCCTGTCTGCATTTGTAAAAGAATCCAAAAACTCAGACTTGATGATATTTCATTTATCACATTTAAAATTTTAGAGAATATTTTTTTATTTCTTTGCTTATTAATTTTACATGTGACTAGAAATAAAGCAATTTAAAATGCCAAAAGATTGTATTTATCTTCTGCGTTTTAAATTATTTAGATTGCATTTAAAACTATAATGTTGTTTTAAAAACTGGGATTTTAAACTAGGAAAGGAGCTGGTGAATTCAATGCTAGCTAAGAATAGAAGTTCAGATGGTTTCATTTGCATGTGTTTTATCAAACAATACAGCTTTTTGCTCCAAGCGGGAGCCATCCACCCTAATAACAGGGAGTGGAGTTGATAACAATTTTGTATGAACTTTCTGCAATATCTTTACAAAAGGGACTGGATATAATATTCCATAATATTAATACCATACTGGAGAATAATCTAAATTGTTTGCACAGTTGCTATAATTACACAGATAGACTTTACAAGTTCATGCAGTGGTCCTGGTCACTACATGTTTGGCTGCATATGCTGACATTCATACTCAATAAAGAAGATACTTTCATCCCATGTGAAAATTCAGACCTTCCCTCCCTCCCCTCTGTCTCTGGCAGTGATTTTAAGCATTTTATAGTGACCTTAGGCAGTTCACAGTGACACTAAGAAGTTTTCTTTAACCTCTTTTTTTCTTTTTTATAGGAGGTATGTGTTCTTTCTCAAATATTTGCTATGTTTTTTCTTCCCTCTGTTGAATGGCAATTCATTATAAATGAGGGAGTTGCTCTTAAAATTTCTTGCTGATGTTTTAGGCTCACAGCAGAGCTGTTACGACTCCTCTGTGCAGAGGCACAAGTCAAAGAACAAATAAAAATGTACAAAGGAGTTCCAGTCCTGCTAAGTTTGCTCCATTCTGATCATATCAAGCTTCTATGGAGTATAGTTTGGATTCTGGTACAGGTTTGTGAAGACCCTGAGACAAGTGTGGAAATCCGAATTTGGGGCGGAATCAAGCAGCTCCTTCATATATTACAGGGGTAGGTTTTCAGTCCTCAACATTCTGGCAGTTTATGTCCTTGACAACCTGTTTCATATATTAAGGTGCATCTGACCAATTCACATTTGAATAAAATAGCTTCTTTCTTTTCTTCTGCTGTATGTGATGTCTGCAGAAATTAAATGCTATGCAAGGCATAATGAATAAGGTTTTTTTTCCCAATTACGCATATTTCTTTGCTCTCTTAAATTGCATTTTTCATATTTTCAGTGTATAGGTAATACCATGGATACATTTAAAATGCCATTATTTTCTACTTAGTTTCCCTAATATTCGGACACTTTTTTGGTAAGCTAGATTTGTGGATAAAATTGATGGACATGGTAAAAAGTCTTTCTGCTTAAAAATCTGTCTGCTTTTTCAAAGTATAGTACCTAAACTAGTGAAAAGATAAGTATCCAAATTTTTGAATGTAAGAACTGGTTGACAAAGATACATTAAGCCAATTTTTAGATTGCCATTTTTAAATTTAATTGAATTTTATTTTCCCCAGCAAGAGAAATCTTGTTTCTGATCGCTCTTCAATTGGAAGCTTATCTAGTGCAAATGCAGCAGGGAGAATCCAACATCTTAATTTCTCAGAAGATTTGAGTCCTAATGAGATAGAAGAAAATACTTTCTCCCTTAAGGCAGGTAGGCATGTTAAGACTAATCCTTGGTTATGTGTTCACCTCCACCTGCACAAAGGGATTCAGAATATTTCAAAGTTGAAGTAATAACCAATAACACCTACTTTGGTGGGTGGGAGCATCAAGTAGGCTGTGTTTATTTCTAGATGTGCAATCCCAGTACGTATTTTCAGATAGTATACTATTTTTTTAAAAAAAGAAAGAAGCAAACGGTAATGTATTTAATTTATGGGAATCATATGCATTTCTTCCACCTGCAAAACATGTCAAGAATTTTTTCCTTTTAAACTTTGTTTTTATACTGAGTTTTTTTGTTTTTATATCGGGTTGTATCATACCTTCTGTGTAAATTTACTATGCTAGAACACTCCTGAATTGATTATGGTGGAGCACTTTGAAAGAGGTATTTCAAAGGCTGCCTTAGGGGAGGTCAGTAGCCGCCTTCAGCAGCTGTGTAGAGATTAGAGCACGTATCACAACAGCAAGTCAGTCCTGCTATTCTGAAATGCTCTTTGGAGAACTGTCTCTCACTGTGGAAGGACCATGCGAATGATCCTTACTGGGATTATATTAACCTTTGCAAAGTCTCCTTCAAAATTATAACCTAATATGTAGCAGTCTGGTTTTGAATACACTATCTGAGCACTGTATCCGAGGAGCTTGCAATGTGAAATACGTAACACTAGCACGTCGTGCATTTATAGAGAATATGGTCCCCTTGCAAAAACATCGCCTCCATGGAGTATGTGTTTGAGTTACTTCTGAGTGCTTTCTCTAAGGACTCTACATAAGTCACTGGAGTGTAAGCACTGAACCTATGGAGGTCTTTGGTAATTTTGACTGAGGTTTTCACTTTTTATTTTTGTCCGCATAAATATTTTTGTGAATCCACTGGTTTCCATTACATCTGATCTTTTCAATTCTAGCTTGTTGTGCTGCAATTACTGAACTGGTGCTCAATGATACCAATGCTTACCAAGTCGTACAGGTAAGGCGGCTTCAGTTAAGGCATCATTTTTTATAATTTTACTGTATCTTGATTATTCCCTTGAGCAAGGAAACAACGTTCCGACAATATTTGAAGGATTTGACTTATTTTCTGTTACTGCTCAGCATTTCCAAAGGGATTGGATATGTCTTTACATGACTTTAGAATCGGTGTCTCTTCGTACGCATGCGCACACTTATATCGACAGGTATCAACATATGTGTCTACTTGCTGCAATAAACTGTTTTACTCAAACACCTATTTTATTTCGATTCAAATCTCTCACCATATTTTTACAATATTCAAAATAGAATAGTAAATCAGAGTAAACATAGAATGAAAAACACAGTTTTGATTTTTATGTAGTTTATTAAAACAGACTTTGAACAGCTTAATGTTGGAATTTCAGGCAAGCAATTTACCTTCTTTCCTCAGGATTTCATATTTCCGAAGTAGTGACCTAGCATTCCACCCCAGGAAGTGTGGCTCTAGAACGCATTATAAAATGTGTTATTTAAATTGTCTATAATCAATGGTTCTGAAAACAGTTCTTAAAAGTCCCTGTTACGGTTTTCAGGCATAGCTAAAGACATAACTATTGAGGACATTAACACCAGCTAAAATCCATAGCCACTTTCATTACTGTAAATAATAGGCCAAGATTCTTAATCCATGTGTTAGTTTAGAATGCAGCAAGAGCTATTCCTAACTCAAATCAGGAGAATGGAGAGTCTTAAATCTGATAGGTAAAGGAGTTGATGTGTATTTCAAAAGAACTGGTCAAGAGAAGAGGAGTGGAAGTAGGTCTAGAAAAAGAATTTTCTGTGTCATTTAAGCATTAAAATTAATTAAGTCATATCAATTTAGACAACCTTTTATCTGCATATGTTTTAGGCTGAGTTTGGTTTTATCAAAATAAGATATCACTTATTTAAAGTAGATGTATTTTGAAAGCAGAACTCTGGGGAAATTAAGGAATTAGTGTAGAATGCAAACATAATCTTGAGTAGATTTATTTCAACAGCAGTTCCACCCCACAACAGTCTCTTTCATTTCCTGCCCTTTTCCTTTCTGCTTATGTAACTTTTTGAGAGCTGCCTGGAGAATAAGATCAAGGGGCTCCCATAGGACTATTTTTATAAGACAGAGGAAGAAGAATTGCAACTCTTTTGTTTATGTGTTGAAGCTTATAGAGAAAGTCAAGGTAATCATCTGTGAAGGTTTATCTCAGTGGCAAAGGCCTCTCTTCAAACAGATGAGAACTGTTTTTGCTGTAGCTGCTTCTTCCACTACATCTGCGCCTTTGTCAGGAATTGCAACCTGAGTAGCAGAGTCCGCCAGCACGAATGTGCATTTATGGCACTGCTTTACAGTCTGAAACCTTGGTTCAAATCTGTTTTCATGAACAGCGTGAGCAAGTATGTCAGGAACTGCACCAAAGCACGTGTCTGCAGAGCAGACACCTACCACCTCCAGTCCTGCTAGGGCAGAGAGTAGTCTCTAACAGGGAGCTCTACCATGGAGATGTCTGAGAGCAGCACTGTGACTATATCCACCAGGGAATCCCCCAACACAAAGTGTTTTCTGTATTAACAGAGAACATAAGCATGGTTACAGGAAAATGGAAGCTGAAAAACAGTGTGTATTCTGATTCTGATTTATTTGAAGTAATGCTAGTTTTTATTTGTGGTTTCTGTGCAAAGAAGTGCTATTATTATTGACTTTTCTCTTTCACTTCCAGGCAACGATAGCAAAGCTGATTTTACCAAACAAAGAAAGTAGTGCTGAGAAAGCTAATTTATTACAGGTAACTTCCTTTAACATCATTGCACACTGAAAGCTCAAAATAGTCCCTGAGATTTATTTTTATAATTTAAAATTTTATTTGAAAGATCAATAAGCCACTCAAAGGAAGGGAAGGGGAAGTCAGGTCTAACAGGTGGCCCAGGAGCTAAAAATTCAATTGTGACTCAACTGTGGGGTCAACTTAAAATGGAAATTATCAGTAGTTATGAATTATCCAGTAGGTTTTCTCCAGCCTCTGTGAAATGCCATTGGTGTCTCACGAAGCGCTAGGGAAGGAGCAGTCCGTGATTCAGGGACATCTGTGACACAGCTGCTGCCCTGGTTGCCCTTCTGTGAGCAGATGAAAGACCCAGATCACACAGGACTGCATCAGCCACACGCTGCTGCCTCTCAGCAGGTTTTTGGTCCCCCCACACTGACGTGGTGACACAGTTACTCAGCTAACTAACCAGGTAGACATGGCCCTGGACAGGGACAAAAGGTGTTTCCACAAAAGAATTTGTTGTAGTGTCATCATTCTCATAGCAATTCCTCCAGGTCAGGCATGGGGAGCAGATTCAGTGCTATGAAAAGATTTTTTTCTTTGTACTTCAGTTAAAAAGAACTCTCTGTTAACATTACTTGGGGGGGAAATACAGGTAATACATGGCTTATGTATTAATGTTTAATGCAGTTGCTTGGGTTATATGTGAAACTATGTAAATTAATAATGGATTTAATAATGATATACAAAAACTAAATTCTGTTCGTGCAAACAATGAGAGTTATGTATTTTATAAAACCTTATTCGGCCTCTCATTCTGCTATTGCTGTTATCAGTGTACTGCTGTCCAAAACAGTAGCTGTTGGAATGCCCTTTATGAATTTCATAGGCATTTTCTTGGCAATCTGGCAATTCTGGCACAGTTTCTTTCCTGCTCCACTGTCTGTGTTTTCAACTGTTAAATTTTCACTTCTGCTCTACCATATTACCTTAGTGATCTTTGCTCTCAGTGTGGCTGCAATATCAGTTACTCAGTGTGCATACAAACAAAATGTAAAATCATCATACCTTAACTAAGGCATGTCATAGTTGTTAACATTTGACATCACACTATGAGAGAGACGACTATTCTTCTCGTTTAAGAAAGCCATTTGTTTCCTTGTTAATCTCTTATTGTGCTGTCCCCTTATGGATGGACTCCTATACTAAGAACTATGTACAGTTTCTAAAAAGAAAAAAAAAAAGCCTTTCAAGGTAACAACTTTGACTGAACATGGCCAGGTTGCTCTACACAGCTAAGCTGCTGTTGCTGGGATTCTCGAGGGAATGTTAGATAAAGAAGCTCGCCCTGTTTCTCCTTTTTGGGTATTTGTTTTGGACTAAAAAGGAGCTTGCTCTGTAAAAGAGAAAGAGCTGCTTGGCAGCATTAACAAGCCAGTTCTTTGTTGTAGCGTTTCAAGTATTTAGCTTCCTTCAAAGATAGTATTTGACCTTGTTTTTTTTCATTTAATGTGTCTTCCACATGTTGAAAAAAGCATTTTTGACTTGGGGACCAATTCTGCACTACTAGATCACAGTTATGGTTGCCTAAATAGAGATTTTTGAACTAGACTTTGGAAATATTTTAGTCACTGATGTAATAAAGTGGACTAAAATAATGTCCAAGGCAGTTACCATTTTATATTGTTTTAGATATCAGTAGCATATTTCTTTTTGATTTGCTTCATATTGTCATCTTTGTTTGGTTAACCATATTGGGTTAAGTAAATGACTCTCAGCACAGAGTGTTCAACATGAGTTACCTAAAAGCATTCATATTAACTGCCTGCTGGTGGCTATTTTAAAATTCAATTTTCTCTGAAGTAAGCATATAGGAACTGAGGTATATTTCTGGAAACTAGAGCAATTTGTGTGAGTGAGATAAAAACAAGAAAAAAACAACCCAAATCAGTAGAACCTTTTTTCCTTTTTTTTTCCTAAATATTTTCCTTCTGTTAGAACTTCCAGTGCTCTAGACTTCATTTTCAGAAAAATAAAAAAAAAATCCAAAATTCAGTTTTACTGCATCATTACAAACTCCCTGGTTACACTTACCCTGTTTCAGTATTGGAGAATGGAGTAGGTCTCAAATCTTAAGCTATTTGCAAGTGAAAAGACACAGTTAAGACTTAGATGCTCCTTGGCATCCAGCAGAACTATCGCTATCGTCACCCATATTTTTTTCCAAGTAGGTGTGCCTTTTTTTGAAATACAGCAGGCACGGATGCAAATGACATGTAGTCCCATGTATAGAATTGCATATTTTAGCTTTCTTGAGGTTAATTTACGAGGTAATCTACTGACTCATTTAAATGCAAAGATTACAGATGTGTTTTTATCAGAAGATCTTTAATTTGTATATATTTGTCATTAACATAATTTTTTCCTTACTGTAGTGCTATGCTTTCAGAGCCTTGAGATTCCTCTTCAGTATGGAAAGAAATAGACATCTCTTTAGAAGGTATGTCAACAAGATGTTTTGTACAACTGCCTTTGGATAGCTTACAAATCATCACTGCAATCACAAGAACATGCCTTTTAAATGTCATCATTTATTTTCAGCAAAAAGAATAAATAACAGGTAATGTCTGTCCAGTCCAGTCTCCAGTGGCACCTTCCTGCCCCATAAATCATAGTTTAAAACATGTTGAGGGAAGATGTAGGTCTGCTGGAGATAAACCATACTTTTATCCTAAAGATTAGCAAAACAGTACCAGGGGTGAGTTACAGATGTGGATCTGGCAAGTAGCTGGGAGGAGTGCGTTTTTCTCTCTGTTCCCCTCTCCACTCTTTCACATAGGAGGGACCGTGCATCAAGCAGAGATACTTAGGATTATTCCTGACAGGTTGGTCAATAAGGAGAAAATATCTTTCATCAGTTACCCGTGTTCACATCATTGTAGAATGATGGCAAAGTTTTATCAGATGGAATACAAAAGATGTGTGTAACCTGGTACGTTGATTTGTGGATTTAGGATAGAAATCATACTGCCTATGGGTTCTGACTGTTGGTAGTGTTTCTCTAATAATTTATTTTGCATCATAAATTGCTAGAATTCTAAATATATCTTTTGTCTTTTAAAAAAGTGGAATTTGTGAACTTTTTCTAGTGTAGGGGCCCCACCTTGTAATGAATGTCTGGTGCTAGTGTCAAGCATTGGAATATGAATGGCTGCTTTG